CGCCTCCATGTCCAGGCATCTCTAGGAACCTGCGCACGCCCCTCTGCCCAATAGGATCTTTCCGGACCATTTAACTTTCACTTCCTGGCTTGTCCCATGGCGTTTCCCTGGTTACTCATGGGCATCTGAGCTAACGGGTTCGGCTACTTCTGGAAAAGTCCTAACGGTGACATTATCCAACACAAGTTCCATAGACTCCCTTTCATGGTACTAAATATTCAGTGTTGCCAACTCTTGTGATTTTGTCCTGAGTCTCACGGTAATTATTGTTTCCTTAAAGCCCCCGCTCCTGGAGTCAAGTGGGACTTGCAATGATTTCAGCCTTCAGTCTTATAGAAAAAGTTAGTTTCCAGCCCTCCTGGATGTGCAGAAAGCTTCAAAATGTGACCCTGGCGCACCCTAAAGGCTCAGAAAGGCATTTAAAAAGAACACCACATCTGTTATTTGTACATAATCTCCATGATTTTAAAGCCAGTCTCATGATTTTTGGTAGACCTAACTCATGATTGTTGAACGTTTGGGGTTGGCAATGTAAGTGCCTCCTACAGGTCTGTGTGACATGGTTCCTCAAATTCCCTGCGTGCACAGAGTTTGCTGGATCTCAGCTGTAGTGATGAAGGGCTAACAAAGTTAGCGTTACAGTGACACAGCTAACAATCAGAACTATCCAGGGAATAATTAGGAACTCTCAACTATTCGAAAAGCAGAGTACTCCACTCAGAAGGAAGTGGGGGAGAATGAATTCGCTCCCCTGGCTTGCTTAAGCCATATTTAACCTGTGTGATGTCTAGGCCTGAAGAAAGTAGAGGAGTAATTGGAGCGAGGCCAGCTGGAGGCTAATTTCCCTGGAAGGAGAGAACTGGGCAGAATTACTCATTGCTTACTGTCCCTACGTGCAGTTTTGTTGTCTTGTCTTTTAATTTGTTTTGTGGTGAATGACTCATGATTTACTCTCACGATAGCGAAACAAAAACCCGCGTGAATAAATCGTTTACCAAGAGGTGGCTTAGATGTTTCCGGCTTCCACAAACGACACGGAAAGACGGCAAAAAGCAAACGTACTCTCTGCCCTGGCAAAGAGCTCGGGGGGGACCAGCAGAGTGCGTGGGAGGGCGATGCGTAATGGAGACTCTTTGCCACCATTCATTGGCCTCTGGGGGTCTGTGTCTACAAGGTCATCACAATTGGCACTAACTGGCCCCTTTTGTGGCAGCCTCAGCTTAGGCCAGGAAATGCCAAGGGGGTGGAGAATTAAATACCCTCTCCCCGTGGAGTTGCTTCCTCGGGTGCATGGTCGGGGAAGGGGGAAGAAACATCTGTGGCTCGGTGGGTGAAGGGGTCAGAGGAGGAGGGGTAGCCCCTGGCCACCCGCTACTTGGGCCAAGGTTCTCTTGGCCGATCTGCCCAGTCTCCTCGCTCTGCCTCCCTCGGGGCCCGTCTTCCCTTCTAGGGTTCTGCTCCTCACTCCGCCGCTTCCCGTGGGGCGCCCCTGCCCCCCTTCCCCTGGCTGCTGCTCCTGCTGTTCACCCCAGGACACCCCCTGGCGGTTCGCCTGCTCCCCTGCACACGCTGCGGCTGCTGCTCCTCCCCCAGGGGCGCCCCGCAGCAGTTCTTCACCCCAGCAGTGGTCCCAGCCAGGCCGCTCCCCAGCCCTTCAGGTGCGTCTGTCGCCCCTGCGCTGAACTGGGCTCCAGGGCTCCCCCAGGGGGACCAGGCCAAGGATGGAAATGGCCAGGTGAGGCCAGCGCTCGGGCTCCTGGTGCTGTTAGGCCCCACGGGGTGGGCGGGAGCCGAGCTGGGGAAGGCGGGGGAGGCTGGCAGCATGGCAATGCCCGCAGGCGGGAGCTGGCTGGGCTGCAGGGACAGGCGGACAGTGGCCCAGGCAGTCGCCATGCAACCTCCGTCTGTGCCACCCCACCAGGCTCTCCTGTGGCCCTGCCCCCTGGCTGCGGGCCCTTCACAGGAGAGCTTCAGCAAAGTGCAGGAGCTCCCCGCCGCGCCTGGCTGCTGGCGCTGCGCTGCCCCGCGAGCTCACTGCTGTCCTGTGTGTGCCACTGGAAAGCACTGGCCACTAGGTGGCGCAGCCGGGCAGCATTTTCCCAGGCCCTGCTGCTTTCCCACAGGTGCACCTGTGCTAGGGCCGGCCCTAGGATTTTGGCCGCCCCTGTTTTTTTCTTACCCCACCCCTGGCCCCCGCCTCCAAGGCCCTGCCTGAGCCCTGCGCCCTCAGCACAGATAAAACACATGGGGCTTAGCTTCACCTGTGACGTGAGCCTTGCCCGGGCAGGCTGCAGGCCACTCGCCCCCAGCCA